ACTGATCATTTTATGTTGTGGGTTTAACATACCTTTTATTTACCTTTTAAAAAAATTATCAAAGTATAGTTGATTTACAATGTTGTGTTAATTTCTGCTATATACCAAAGTGATTCAGTTATACATGTATATATTCTTTTTCATATTCCCTTTCACTATAGTTTATCACAGTATACTGAATATAGTTCCCTGTGCTACATTAATAAGACCCTGTTACTATCCATGCTATATATAACAGTCTGCATCTGCTAATGCCCAACTTCCAATTCATCCCTCCCTCAATTGCTCTCTTTGAATATGGGAAAAATAGGATACTTTTCTCACTGTATAGTTAATGAAACACTACAGACTCTCCAGCTCTGAGTGACTTCAGAGTGATAAGGTCATACCTCTGTTTTATGAACTACTATAAAAACAAGATCTCATTATTAACACCTTTATCCAAAGATTTTTGTACCTTTCGTTACTGTTGTCGCTGTTTGTTTCGTCACTCAGTCCCTGTCTGACACTTTTGTGACCCAACAGACTGTAGCCCACCAGGCTCCTCTATTCATGGGATTTACCAGGCAAAAATACTGGAATGGGTTACCATTTCCTTCTCCAGGGTGATCTTCCCAACTCAGGGATCAAACCCATGTCTCCTATATCACAGGCGGATTCTGTACCACTGAACCCCCTGGGAAGCCCTTGTTACTGTAGTCATGTTTTTTCAAACTCCAAACTGTGAGACAAAGGCCATCACCTTGCTGGGGTTTCTGGACCCACAGGACTATCACTAACTGGAGCAGTTTGCCTCAGCCTTGGTGTTCCATGTCTTTGGTGGAGTTTCATTTCATAGGGGCTTCCTTGGTTGCTCAGATGGTAAAGAATCCACTTGCAATGAGGGAGACCCAGGTTTGATCCCTGGGTTGGGAAGATCCCATGGAGAAGGGAATGACCACCCACTCCAGTATTCTTGCCTGGAGAAGACCATGGACAGAGGAGCCTAGTGGGCTGCAGTCCATGGGGACGCAAAAAGTCGGACATGACTGAGCGACTAACATACACACAATTATATCTATTCATTTCATAGATATGATTGATTGAGTCACTGGCCACATGGTTGAACTCAGTTTCAAAGTCTCCTGCCCTGCCTAGAGATCAGGTTGATATAGGCTGGCTCAGTGCCCCAAATTTCTAATCAGATGTTTGGTCTTTCAGTCCTGGCTAAATTCTGAACTGAGTCATTTTGTTAACATAAATTCAGATCTTCGGTCTCAGGGATCCACCATGAATAAAGGACATTCCTATCACTTAGAAAATTCCAAGGATTTAGGGCTTACCACCCAGCAACCAGGGATGATGAAGACCAGCCAGTTTTTTAATTATACAACTGCTGCCAACAGAGGATGATTTTAAACTCATAAACCAAATCTAAAAAACACCATGATCATCACTGAAGATTTTTCACATACCAGCCAGCAAACAGAATTTATATTATGAATTAAAGAGCACACTGAAAAACTAGAAAGAAATCTAGTAGCCAAATCTATAAATACTAACCAGATTTATGTAAATATGCCTATCACATTTTAGGGTGTTATCACTTCCTTAAATATGTAAGAAGAAAATTATACATGTTAGTTTAAGATTAGATCATGGATTTAAAATAGTGAATTTATATTTAGCATACAAATATGAGACTATTTCTAAACACCACAAGGATTATGTCAAAGAAACACAGAGTTTTAAATCTGAATCTCAGCGATTACTTGCACAACCCTTTTAATTCACAACTGAAAAAAATGAAAACTCAGCTTCCTTTACTAAAGGAGTTATTTCTTTCAAGATCTTTCATTACATAGCATGCCAGAAATACCATCATTTAATCACAGGAATGTGTTCTAATATTTACACTCTTAGCATTCAGTACCAAATCTAATTCCCTAACCTAAAGATAAATCCTGACTTGCCTAGTTTGGTTCTAGATGAAGAAGGAAATAAGATTCCTTTAAATAGTAACTTTACATATATTGAGCCACCATCAATTCCATTTCTTACTTCCCTCCCCGAGTTACAGCAAGTGCTATAGGACCACTCCCAGTGCCAAAGGCCCCACAGGGTCTCATAAGCTAAAAAGTCAGGTGTTGATCATTAGTATTACCTTAGGAAAACACTCTTTAGAAGCTTTAAAATGCTTCTCAAACTCAAGGGAATAGTTTATGAATTCGTTTTCTTCACATACTGTGTGTATGTGTATATACATGCATATGTGTATGTATATGCATATGTCTTTTAGTGAAAAGGTTTTAATTCTACTTCTCCAAACGAGCTCCTATTATCTGACAAAATGCATTATTTCCTGTGTGAAATAATAGCTCATAAAGCCACAGCTTTTAAAGAAGCCAGTTTAAAAACCAAAGCAAACCATTTTCTTCTAGAGACAACTCCAAAATATACTACCAAATATAAACACAGGTACACTTTATTGGAAGCCCATTTTATCTGTAAGTGTAAATTCTCAATGCTAGAAGATAGTTAAACAAAGCATGAACTTCTATGTACTGAAGAAATGGGACATTCTAACCCAAATTAACTTCAGAAAAGCATTTAGAAGTATCTTGAAATTACTTTGTAATAAAGTTTGTAAAGAAGTTTTAGATTTTCTTCCAACTTTAGAATGTAGAATGTTTGTTTTTGTTTTGTTTCAGAGTATCTGTTTGATTTCCTATCATTGTACATTTTTTATTACATCAGTTTGTGTATTTGCTAATCTGAAAAATATGGAAATGGGCAACACATTTTCAGGTCATTAGTGGAAATTTAAAATTTTCTCTTTAGAAAGACTGAAATAGAGGAAAATATTAAAAGTAAAGTACCATTCTTGGGTATACACCTGGACAAAACTGTAATTCAAAAAGATACTTGTACCCCTATGTTCATAACAGCACTATTCACAGTGGCCAAGTCAAAGACACAACCTGAATGTGCACTGACAGATGAATGGATAGAGAAGACATGGTAGATACATACCATGGAATATTACTCAGCCATTAAAAAAAAAACAAAAAACAAAATAATGCCATTTGCAGCAACACAGACGCAACTCAACATCATCATACCAAGTGAAGTAAGTCGGAAAGAGAAAGACAAATACTAGATGATATCACTTATATGTAGTTTAAAATATGGCACAGATGAACCTATCTACAAAACAGAAAGCAGCCTCACAGACACAGAGATCGGATTTGTGGTTTGGAACAAGGGACAGATTTGTCCAAGGGACAGGGAGGGAGAAAGAAGAGTGAAGTGGGAATTTGGGGGCTTGCAGATGCCAACTATCACTTAGACTGGATAAACAGCAAAGTCCCACTGTACAGGTGCTGCTGCTGCTAAGTCGCTGCGGTCGTGTCCGACTGTGTGACCCCATAGACGGCAGCCCGCCAGGCTCCCCTGTCCCTGGGGTTCTCCAGGCGAGAATACCAGATGGCACAGGAAACTAAATCCAATCTCCTGGGATAAACCATAATAGAAAAGAACATTTTTAAAAAGAATGTATATATGTATAAAACTGAGTCTCTCTGCTGGTACAGCAGAGACTAGCACAACATATTGTAAATCAACTACAATTTTTAAAAAGTAAAGTACCATTCTTGATTAATAGCAAGAATTTAAATAAGAAATATTACCAAGGATTTGCTGTTGTTCTTCAGTCGCTCAGTTGTGTCTGACTCTTTGTGACCCCATGGACTGCAGCACGCCAGGCTTCCCTGTCCTTCACCATCTCCCAGAGCTTGCTCAAACTCATGTCCATTGAGTCCAAGATGCCATCCAACCATCTTGTGCTCTGTCATCCCCTTCTCCTCCCACCTTCAATCTTTCCCATCATCAGGGTCTTTTCTAATGAGTTGGCTCTTTGCATCAGGTGGCCAAAGTATAGGAGCTTCAGCTTCAGCATCAGTCCTTCCAGTGAATATTCAGGGTTGATTTCCTTTAGGATTGACTGGTTGAATCTCCTTGCAGTCCAAGGGACTCTTAAGAGTCCAACACCACTGTTCAAAAACATCAATTATCAAGAATAGTAATAAACAATTATTTCTTCAGGAATGAAGTTATTGTGTTTCTCAAATACATGAATGCCAATTTATTCCTTTTATTCTTTTGGTTTTGAGAAAGTTTTTCTGAGAAATACCGCATCACTTTTTGCTTAATAAAATTGTGTTATCTTCATATTTGCATGTGGAAACATCTGAACATACAATTTAGGAAAATCTTGCAATTTTTAATTCTATACAATGTAGTTTAAATATAAATTCAAGGGGGGTTCAAGATGGGGAACACATGTAAATCCATGGCTGATCATATCAATGTATGGCAAAAACCACTACAATATTGTAAAGTAATTAGCCTCCAACTAATATAAAAAATGAAAAAAAATAAAATAAAAAATATAAATTCATAATAATAAATATCTGTTTATTACTTGAATAATAATCTGTAACTGTAGTCTCAAAAGTGTTTTGAAGTATTACTTCTATGGGTGTTAATTTTATAGGTGTTAAATTTCTCTGTGAGTTACCATATGTCCATTCTGCAGAGAACTGACAGTTTGAGATAATTGAGAGAGTAAAAATTAGAATGGGAGGGAGGTAGTCAGAATCAGTTCACACACTTGTTCATTAATATTATTGGCGTGCTTGCTGTTGGCAAGACGCTGGGCTTACAGCAGTGGATAAAACAGAACCCGAATTCATGGAGCTTATGTTTAATGAGGAAGAGAGACATTAAGAAACAATTATATGGGACTTGCCTTGTGGTCCACTGGTTAAGAATCCGCCTGCCAATGCAGGGGACCTGGGCTTGACCCCCGGTCCAGGGAGATCCCTCATGCTGCGGAACAGCTAAGCCCACAGGCCACAACTGCAGAGCCACGTGCTGCAGCCGCTGGGGCCCTGGCGCCTGGAGTCCGTGCTGCGCAACCAGAGGGAGCCTGAGCGCAGCAGCAAACACCACGTGGGACCTAAACAAATACATGCAGGAAAAACTGTAACGGACTTATTAAAAGCAGAGAAATAACTATATGAAGGAATGTTCACTTACAAACTGTGCTGTGTACATGGAAGAAAGATGAGCACTACTAAGAGACGTCTTAATGTGGACTTAATTTAGATTGGGACTCGTCAGTGGAGGCTTCTCTGAAGATATCACAGATAAAGTAACTAAGAGAGATATCAAATTTATCCAAGTGAAGAGTTGGACTAGGGATATTCTAGTCTGGGAAGACCACAGGTGGGAGGATGCTGAGGGTGGAAATTGCTTGGTGACTTTCAAGAAAAAATTAACCTGATTAAAATACAGTAAAATGTGGAGGGTGGTACAAAACGAGGCAAGAGAGAGAAGCAAAAGTCACACTGTGCAAGATTCACGACCATTCTAAGAATTTTGTATTTTATCTTAAGTGCCAGGGGAAACCGTGGAAAGATTTTGAGTACCTCACCGGGTCATATTTGTGTGTTAAAGCACAACTCTGGCTGCTATGTAGAGGATGGATTGGAAGCACACAGAGCGGAAATGGGTCCAATGGTTAGGAGGCCATGGAATAACATGCAGACTGGATTAGGGGAGTGACGATGATGCTGATTTTAGAACCAGAGAAAAGTGGATAGGTTTTAGATTTACAGTAGAGACATACTGATAGAACAAGATAATGACCTAGATTAAGAAGAGAATGAAGAAACGTGTCAAGAATAGCCTCTGTCTTTTTGACACAGAAGCTCGTTAGTTGATAACTGATCTTATTATTTAGTTGCATGGAGGAACCCTGGGGAAAGAGCCTGTTTGGTAGAGCTTGAGAGGCGGAGTTTCAGAGTTCAGTTGTGAGACTAATTAATCCCACTTGTGTTCTAAGTATTTAACATACATTTTATAGTAACATAGACATAATCCCCAATCTTTTTGGTCCATGTCCTCTACTAAGGAAATTTTGATTACAGACGCTAGATCTAAGATGCTACTTTCAATCAAGGATTAATGAAAAGAATAAGGTGAATTAACTTTTTAATCTAAAATGTCTACTCTCTTAGTCTTTTTGACCTAGATTCCAAAATAATAGTGTACTCAATTTCAAATTAAAAGATCTGGAAGAGGAAAAAAAAGATCTGGAAGAGAAGATCAGGAGTTTAGCATAAGGAATAAATCTTCTGAAACATCATAGACTGCCTTCCAGAACATACAACCTGCAATCTTAGCCCAAACTTTTCTGTGCAATAATATTTCAGGTGTTCTTCCTGGTACTGAATGCAAATTTGGGGGCCAATTTACATTGCCTTCATCTCTTTTAAGAGACCACCTACTGACTCATGCTCAGTGAGTCAGGCTGGAGCCACATGGCCTTGGTTGAGGGCAGACAGATCAGGAGGAAAGCAGGCCCAGGAGGGGACAATGAATGGGACAGAAGGCACAAAGCCTCGTGAGGGACAATCCCCAAGTCCACAGTGAAAGTAGAAAAAAGGGCCTATCTTTTATTGACAGAGAAAGGGTGGCCCAGTATTTTCATAATTCCACATTATACCTGAGACACAGATTTGATCCCTGGATCAGGAAGAGCCCCTGGAGGAGGAAATGGCAACCCATTCTAGTATTCTTGATTGGGAAATCCCATGGAGAGAGCAGCCTGGTGGGCTACAGTCCATGGGATCACAAAGAGTCCTATATGACCGAGCACACAAACACCACTAGCTTTTTATCACAGCCATGGCCCCAAACTCAGCTTCAAAAAGATACATCATCAAGAGGAATATGGTACTATCTAGTGTAATCTAGTATCATTGAGTTAAGTAGGATGATAGCTTATTTAAAAATGGAGGCAGGCCAACAATGACAACAGTACTAAACGACATTCATTGAATGTGTATCATGTTTCAGGAACTGCACTCAGTGCTTTCCTTGTATTGTATTATTGAATTTCCTTCAAACCCCTTATGAGGTTTAGAGGTCCTAAATCATTCTCCAAAGACCACATAGGTGGTAAATGCAAGAGTGAAATGGCCAGATCTGTTTGACTCCAAAAGTGGAGTTAGCTACCAGTCTGCCTCAGTGCATCAGCATACAAATCAAAGATGAGACTAAAGAACCTCAGTAGTTCTTTAGAGTTAAGAGCTAAAACTAAAAACAGAAATTGTGTATATGTTGGTTTGCAAATATTTGGGAATATTCCTGGCTTTCCAGGTGGTGCAGTGGTAAAGAATCCGCCTGCGAATGCAGGAGATGAAGTTCGATCCCTAGGTAGAAGATCCCCTGGAGAAGGAAATGGCAGCCCACTCCAATGTTCTTGTCTGGGAAATATTCCAAAATAAGGGGAATGTCTCTGCTGTATTGGATGGTCCTTTTCTTACACAGTGTTCTGAAGAGATAGGTGACCACTTACAGGTATTTAAAAACTACCTTGAGCTTTCTGTCAGCATAATTTCTCACACACTTGGAGATACTTGAGTTTTATAATGTCGCTCCTGTCATTGTGAATTTCATTTTTGCTTCTTTTATACCCTTTTAAAAGCTGTTAACCTGTACTTGTTCACCATTTTCCTTTAAATTTCTGTGGTTGAAATTCACTTGCTTTCCACTGATTCATTATCACTACACCCCTGTTCTTAAACCACTTTAGATAAATATTTCACTGACTTTTTCTAACACAAAGTATATGTTGGTAATTTTTAGTTGAAAAAAATTGCCTTAGTTTGAGTTTTTAAAAGCCAAGGGGGAAAAAAGAAATGATGTTTCAATTCACTTTGTAGTGAAATTCAATTTTTTTATTAAAAAATATTTTATTCCATGTTCTTCACATTTATAGGGTTTCTATCAAGTGGTCAGTTGTCAATCACATTTTCCCCCTTTAAAAGTATTTGTTTGGTTTTGCTATTTTTAAGACTTTTTCGTTGCTTTTAGTTTTTACAGATTTGCTCTGTAAATGTTGATTTTTTAAAAACTTATCTTGCTTTGAAGTTAAACAGATTTCTTAATGTATCCCATCAGTTTTGGGAAATAACTATGCACTATTTCTTCAATTGCTGCTTCTAATTCTAAACAACATAATAATAAGGCTCAGTTGTGTCTGACCCTTTGTGACCCCATGGCAGGCATGTGACCCCTGCCAGGCTCCTCTGTCCATGGGATTCTCTAGGCAAGAATACTGGAGGGGGTTGCCATTTCCTTCTCCAGGGGATCTTCCCAACCCAGGGATCGAACCCATGTCTCTTATGTCTCCTGCATCGGCAGGCAGGTTCTTTACCACTAGCATCACCTGGGAAGCCCAGATAATAATTGCCTAGTTATGGTAATTTCTAGCAAAGATGTAAATAAAGTGAAGAACATGGAGATTTCCTCCCACCCTTCGGAAACACAAGTATAATCCACTCCACCTCTCAACCCACCCATTCTCTTCCTCACAGCAACAGTGTGGCAACTCCCTTTCCAGCATCCTCAGCTACAGCTGACTGAACTGAGTTCTGAATGATGAAGACTTACAAGTTAAGAGAAAAGGGGCATTCCAGTTAGGTAGATAATATGTACAATGTACAGCAAAGATGTAAAGGGAATCATCAGAAATTGGGGTGGGGAGATGAATGCAAATAGGACATAATCTACGTTAGGTAGGTTGGGACCAAATTTTGAGAGCCTTTCCTGCCACACTGAAGGAGTCTGATAGACACTTAAGGGATAACACACCACTGGCAGCCCATGAGCCTTCTGTGCTTAGGTGCTCAGACACTTCCTTCACCTCCTATTATTACTTAGGTTGAAAGCAAAGCTTGCCATGCCTTTTCCATTTTATCCATACCCGTTTGTAGCATATTTCTGTAATTCCTGATACCATGGCTCTCTGTGCGTGAAATTGTGCTTTGGCATGAAGAAAAACCACAACTAATTCAAGGGAAGTCTATTTGGATGGAACTTTTGAAAAATACAAGTAGAAAAATAAAATATCATTTAGGAGAAAAAAATACATGTCTGCCACTGAAGCTACAAGTGTTCTTCTAATAAAAGGCATTTCATCTTATATGCAAAGGACACTTATTAGGTTTAGTGGGCCATCTGAAATGAAGAAGAATAATTACAATTATACAGAGTTGTCCCAAGCCCCCTCCAAAATAGCCCAGTTGTCGCATAGATTTATGTTTGGAATTTTGAGATGTGGTCAGGACCAAATGAATAGAAGGAGGAGGAGCTGGGAGAGAAGGGGCACAGAGAGGGAGTGTGTATGTTTAATTTAGAAAATTTTTAAGCTGGATTCATTTTATATACTAAAGCTGGATTTCAAATCAACTGAATTTCCAGATTGTTAGGTTCTTTCAGAACTTCCTACTTTCACTGTAACCAAGCTTTGGCTTCAAAGAAAATTGGTCTATAAAATTTTTACCGCATTTCCTAGTCAAAAGTGTGTGCTTCTACCAAGGCAGGGAACACTGTTACTGGCCCTCTCCTTGAGAGACCAGCAGAAATGTGGCAAACCTGGTAGAAACTGGGATACAGGCAAAGTAAAATCCTGTTAGCAAGTCTAATGAGTACAGAATGTGTTCTGTCCCTCTAGCAAGTGTCGGCTTTATTTTGTGGGAAGTACTGAGTGTTCTTTACAGTAAGTGTTTGTCATTTAACTTACTGAGATGGCGAGGAGAGAAAAGGATGTGGCTGTGACAGGATACACTGAACGCAGGCTCTTTCACATTATTCGTTAAAATCGCCAGCCCTGTCTCACCAGCTCTTAATACAAATGCATCATCATCGAGACTGGTGGAATGGCTATCGGGCTTCATGAAGTCTAGAGGTCTTCATATTCATCACTCTAATTTTATCATGTAATTAAGTAATGATGGACTGAAGCAAATGTATTTATAGCACATGTGAAAATCCTGGGGTAAAAATAGGATGCCGATAAATCTTCCCACATTCTAACTAACATTTGCTTGATCTTAGGAGCATGGCATTCCTACTGACATGGGCTATGCAGTGGCCCCTCACCATTCAGGCGTCTACCCTGTACATGTTCAGCTATATGAAGCCTGGAAGAAGGTTTGGAATATTAGAATCACCAGCACTGAAGAATATCCACACCTGAAACCAGCTAGATACCGGAGGGGCTTCATCCACAAAAACATCATGGTGAGCATCCTCCAGTATGGGTACAGCACACCACATTCTGCCAGAAAGAACGCAAGAGAAGAACAAAATAGTAAAAGCTTAACAGAGGGAAAGCTCCATGCAGCAGGAAACATAGTTTTCATATCCAAGCAAAGGATGTTTTAGTTATAGTCACTTTTTTTTCTGTTCTTCAAACAGAACTTTAAAGTGTTTTTTTACTGACACTACTGCTATTAATCAGGCACTGATGTTAAACCACTAAGGAGACATTACATCTAACTTGCAGATAATTTATAGAAGCCTTCATTTCTTCAGTTACTTAGCATGTAAAACTAACACCATCTCTCTGTATATTAACTATGCCACTCTTTTACAAGCCAAACTGTCCTCTTTATCAATGTCAGACTAAAAGAAAAAAAAACTCAGGTATTTACAAGAAGCCACATGTCCTGCATAATCATTAACAAGTCATAATAGAGAGTACAAATGAGAGATGATGTTAAGTCATTTATATCTGTTGTCAAATTCTCTCCAAAGTGTCTCTATTTGGTGACAAATATATATTGTCAAGATATATTGTTACTTAATACTTTGTGAAGCCTCTCAAAGTAAGTAATTAGGAAAAAATCCTAATTTTTCCCCAAATCACAAGATCTAAAGAGCACTGTGGTGTTAGACATAGGTCTCCTGATTTAGACAAACGTTTAGACACACATTTAGATTACACCCATATTTTGATCATCTGGGTTTTGATGATCTGTCTACAAATCAAACTCATAAGACCTCAAATGAAACCTATTATCTTCCCTTCATTCCAGCTATTGGTCCAGCTATTTCTAATTCAGTTCAGCGATTTGAACATTGCACTACCCACCCCATGTCCAATCAGTCTCTACATTCCATCAATAATTCCTTCATAATACTTTAATATTCACTACCTTTCTCACAGTCTAATTCACTGCCTTGACTTTTATTAGTAAACCACAGGGCTGATTCCTATTTCATCTATGTACATCTTCTATCCACCCCCTACCACAGTCTATCCCATGGACACTGCCAACCTTTTAATCCTAAAATGCTGCCTTCACCTTGACCGTCCTAACCTGATTCTTTCCAGTTGTTTCCACAGCCCTTAACTTGCTCTGCGGGACCTAAAAACAATTTACACTAAGTCTACCTTTCTAGCTCCTATCTTCCCATAGTTAGCACAGACTCACTCCAGATAAAAAGATCTGCAGCAATATCACCGTCTCCGTGCCTCTGTTGTCCTTTCAACCTTGAAAGACTTTCTGACCACTCTCTACCTATTCCTATTCCATTTATTCCTCAGTATCAAGTCCTATATCATATATAACGTAAAGCACTTTGGTGTATGTCTAGCAGTTCAGCACCTAGGTCCTGCCTGAAGTGAACTGAAGTCGCTCAGTCATGTCCGACTCTTCACAACCCCGTGGACTTTAGCCTACCACGCTCCTCTGTCTATGGGATTCTCCAGGCAAGGTACTGGAGTGGGTTGCCATTTCCTTCTCCAGAGGATCTTCCCAACCCAGGGATTGAATCTGGGTCTCCCGCACTGTAGGCAGACGCCTTACCATCTGAGCCACCAGGGAAGTCCAACCTAGCCACCAGTCTGGCCTACACTGGACTTAATCTCCTCTGAATTCCCATAACATATCATCTTGTAACTCCACTGGGAACATAGACTTACCACATTTCAAGATGTTTGTGCCCTAACCAGAGGCTCTGAGGCTCCAGTCCCATTGCATTATAGGGCAGTTTTTCTCTTTATTCAGTAAGGAACTGATGGAAAACCAAAACATCCCATCCCAATCCCTGGTTGTTAAATGTGACTCTCTGAAGAGAGCCAGAGACCTCAAAGCAATTAGATTGCAAACTTGATTATTTATTTACTCTTTCCAATGGAGATTCCCACTGGTAGAGACTCCCACCAGCCCCCCAGCAGCCTCATGGGTGGCATTTACCAGGAACACTTATTGGCAGTTGCTCTAGATTCAGGCCTTGCTTGTGCATCCATGCTCAATCGCTCAGTCATATCTGACTCTTTGCGACCCTTTGGACTACTGCCCGCCAGGCTCCTCTGTCCATGGGATTTTTCAGGCAAGAATACTGGAGAGGGTTGCCATTTCCTCCTCTAGGAGATCTTCCTGACCCAGGGATTGAACCCACATCTCCTTCATTGCAGGCGGATTCTTGACCCACTGAGCCATCAGGGAAGCCCAAATTCAGACCTTACGTATAGGATATTGGTTTTAGGTCCATTAGCGGAGATTCTTGTGATTATGGTTTTCATAACCATCTCCTAGTTAGTTAGGGTCAGCAGCTATATATAAGGTTTGCAGGGGCTTATCAATATATGAGAGTTTGAATTTGATAGTGTTACACTCCCAGAAACAGTTCTAGAGAGCAGAATGCCTAAAACCTCTCTTACTCCTTCTCTAACACTAGAGAGCTATTTCAAGAAACATGGTCAGTGTCCTGCAGCACTGGAATTAGGGAGAAGGCAGTGGGATATGACCCTCCTACGCCCTCCTGGTCTCCTCGGCCTCCTTCGGTGGTCCACTGACCATCCGAGGGCCCACCGTGACTCTCACCCTCTCAGCAAGTGTGATCCTCCCCACACTTGCAGGGTAAAGCCTAACACTTCCTCTTCCTTCTGTTCAAATACAAATAATTTGAGAAATAAATGAGGCTCAAATATCTTTTCATTTCTCTCTCTCTCTATTGCATAGAATTAGCTAGATAATCAAGTCCCAAAGTTGGCTCTTTATGTTACCACAGTTTTTCAAGCAAGATATTAAAGCTAAATCCTAAAAGTGATTCAGAATCATGCATATTTAAAATGTAAAACTAACCTGGCATTTAATTACATGTAGGCATTTCATTATTTAGCTTTGGGATAATTCTCTCTACCTCCCATACACTTTAAATCCTTCTTGAATATAAAGGATATACCATTGTGTTCTCCCACCTGGACTTACATAGAATTTTGAATCAGTATTTGTGAAATAAATAACTGCTATTTCCAGGAAATTGTATTTCCATGAGTTATTAAGGAATATATTTGATTCGGTTAGAATATTTTTGCACTTAGTTCTTTTTTGTTGTTGATTTTGTGTATAACATTATGAGAATATATAATGCTTTTAAACATAAACATCATCAGAGCTAATACTCTGCAATTAAACTGAAGTTCTCTAAACGATCTCATCAAGATAAAATAGCTTCTAAGGATATAACTTTAACCAGTTTACCAAAATAAATAGGATATGTTCAGTTTTGATTTACACAGCAATATATAATATAGTGATTGAGCTGAGAATCATGTTTTCTAAGAAAACTTTCAAGGACTAGATTGAAATTTATTATAATACACATTCAAATGAAAGAAACCCCCCCCAGTATATTTCTAGGGAACTGCAAAGCATGGGGAGCCCTGTACAGTAATATTTTGACAACAACTGAACCAACTGTGCTTTAAGAATCAAGACAGAAAAAACTGAAGACTGATTGCTTAAGACAATAAGCTGAAGACCTGCCTATTTAAAATTCCATAAAACTTGTATCTCTCCTAAATATATTCATTTATTTTCTACCACTTCAAGTGAATAATGACAAATGCAGATCATAAAGAAGTCATTACACAAAATTTAGCTGAAGATTATACCACCTTGCACAGTTTTTGCTCACCCTTTTAAAATTATACTGCCATTTTACCAGGAAAGCTGTAAGAATTTGAAAAAAAAAAACCCTTATCACAAATATGTGTAATTGAAGTAAATAATGGCTTCTATATACAAAAGATAAAAAGAATACTTTTTACTAAGTGACCTTTTTATCATTTTGTTTGTGATACATTACAAAAATTGCTAACCAAATGCATAATCTCTTTCTTTCTTTTGGAACTGGCAGTCTTCAGACTTAGAATTTGTGGCAGTTACTACAACCTACAGTGGTCCTTTCAGAGTAGAGCAGAAACTACGACTTGTGTCTCAAATATTTGTTCTAATTTAAAAAGTTATTTCCTAAGAATCATATTAAGTTACTAATTGACTTCATTTTCTAATGCATGTGTAGAATTTGATAGAAGTATTATCCTTAAATATTTTGCCTACTAGAATTACAATGTATAGCATAGGCAAATCCAATACTTTTTAAATTTCATTTTTACTTTTTTTGTTTTATTTCATAAGATGCTAGAACATACTAGGTTTCATAACAGAAGTAATGACTTGGAGATTTAAAATAGATAAGTGGCTAAAATAATTCAAAGTCTGTTTTAGTTCTCACATATTTCTTCCACTGTCTTCAGTATTCCTCCTATAGTGATGTCATCCCCACTGTCCAGATTATGAAGGATTTGGGGGATGAAGGATCTCAGAGATAAAGAATCCGCCTGCAATGCAGGAGACTCAGGTTTGATCCCTGGGTTGGGAAGATCCCCTGGAGAAGGAATGGCAACCCATTTCGGTGTTCTTGCCTGGGAAATCCCACAGACAAAGGAGCCTGGCAGGCTATATAGTCCATGGGGCTGCAAGAGTTGGACACATAACTTGTTAACTAAACCACCACAGTAAAGAGTTGAATAATGACACCAACTTTATCTTCCATGAGGGAAGAAGCTAAGTCAGCATATTAATTGGTTGAAGGGAACTTTTTCCTTACTTGTTCTTTCTTCCTTCAGGTTCTCCCAAGACAAACCTGTGGGCTTTTCACTCACACGATTTTCTATAAAGAATATCCAGGAGGTCCTAAAGAGCTGGACAAGAGTATCCAGGGAGGTGAACTTTTCTTCACTGTGGTCCTCAACCCAGTAAGTACTTCGAGCTTTTCTCCAAATAAATAATGAAAATGACAAAACAGATGACAAACAGGCCAGGGTTTTGGTGGTTATCAGCCAAATCAGTATGAAGTTTCAGTTATAAAACAGTAATTAATAACTAAATGGAACCATATTTAGTAATGGGGGCAAACTAGTTCTTCAAGTAGTAATGAGATGAGGAACTTACAGAGGAACCAAGGAAGTGCTCTAGCAAACCCTTCTCTGCATTGGAAAGTCATCAAAATTCAGATATTCTTGCTTTTATGCAGAATAAAATTTTCACCTATAAAACTCTTCTGTTCCTAATGGGACCAGTTTTTCATTTAGGTGACTATACCTCTATTTTTTTCTTACTTAAAGTAAATGTAGAAGTGAAATGGGAGAGAAATTAGGTAAGCAAATATGGTCACTGCTGGAACAGTCACGTTAGATCTTATTTTGCTCTGTCTCAGGACAGGGCAGAGCAGCCTGTTTTTTGGGGCTGCTACTGTGCTTTCTCCTTTACTTCTTAATACCAAGGTGCCAGCTCCCAAAGGAACCATTTGTATTTATTTCTGTTTGAGGCAAGTGTTATAGAGTTTATGAGAAATAACTAGTTGAAGTAAGGTGTACAAGGAAAAGAAGGGATTTTTATTTCCCTTCTGAAAATCAATGATACAAAATGTAAAGCTGTATTTATTTATAGTAAATTTGTCCCTAATGTCAGCAATATTCAAGATTTTTTTTAAAAAAATGTAATTCTCCAAATGGGAAGAAATTCTAAGACCCTCTCTTGACCTTAATTTTACAGGTTTTGCAATCAAAATTGCAGATATTTTTCATTGTCTACTAGTATTCAATAGCTATCTATTTCTCAGCTCCTAGAAAATGAGATAGAAGCAAGTAAGAGTAACTCATCTTTGGGCAAAATTAGCACATATATAAAAAAATCACTATAGTCTGAATTCATATGGCATTTGGCCTTTTGGAAGTTTATTAACCGTCCTACTATCCAAAATATAAATAATTCTGATTTATATATCAGAGATAACCTGGTTCTTCTATCTTCTTTACAAACAGAAGTCTCTTTGGAATCATCTCATATGGTTTTCTTCATTTTTTTCCTCAATTCAATGAAAAGAGTTAAACCAATGCCTGATTGTGAACTGAAAACTCAGTTAAAATATTCTTAATATGGTAACATTATCACCATAATTTTAAGACTCCTTAATCTATAATCTGTAAAATTCTAATGTTTTCTACTTCCTTTCATCAAAAAGCAATAGGACTGTGAACAGGTAGTCATTTATTTGATTTTATTTTTTTAAACAACAGTTGCTTTGGCACTTAAGAAATTCATCGTAGTATTGTAATTTCAGAACCTTCTAAACCAAATTAGTCGTATTTAACATAGAAGAAATTCAAAACTAGATCATTCATGACCAGTTGTTGTTGTTGTTCAGTTGCTAAGTCGTGTCTGACTCTTTGTGACCCCATGAACTGCAGCATGCCAGGTTTTCCTATCTTTCACTATCTCCCAGAGTTTGCTCAAACTCATGTCCATTGAGTTGGTGATGCCATCCAACCATCTCATCCTCTGTCATTCCTTTCTCCTCCTGTCTTCAATCTGTCCCAGCATCAGGGTCTTTTCCAGTGAGTCAGCTATTCACATCAGGTGGTCAAAGTATTACAGCTTCAGTATCAGTCCTTCCAATGAATATTCAGGGTTGATTTCCTTGAGGATTGACTGGTTTGACCTCCATGCCATCCAAGGGATTCTCAAGAATCTTCTCCAGTACCACAGTTCGAAAGCATCAGTTCTCCAGTACTCGGCCTTCCTTATAGCCCAACTCTTACATCCACACGTGACTACTGGAAAAACCATAGCTTTGACTATATGGACCTTTGTCAGCAAAGTGATGTCTCCACTTTTTAATTCACTGTCTAGATTTCGCATAGCTTTTCTTCCAAGGAGAAGTGTCTTTTAATTTCATGGCTTCAATCACTGTCCACAGTGATTTTGGAGTCCAGGAAAATAAAATCTGTCAGTTTCCACTTTTTTCCCATCAATTTGCCATGAAGTGATGGGACCAGATGCCATGATCTTCATTTTTTGAATGTTGAGCTTTAAGCCAGGTTTTTCACTCTCCTCTTTCACCCTCACCAAGGGGCTCTTTAGTTCCTCTTTGTTTTCTGCCATCAGGGTAGTATCATCTGCAAATGTGAGGTTGCTGATATTTCTCCTAGCAATCTTCATTCCAGCTTGGGATTCATCCAGCCCAACATTTTACCTGATGTACTCTGTAAATAAGCAGGGTGATAAGATACAGCTTTGATGTACTCCTTTCCCAATTTGGAACCAGTCCATTATTCCATATCTAGTTCTAGCTGTTGCTTCTGGACCTGAATACAGGTTTCTGAGGAGGCAGGTAAGGTGGTCTGGTATTCCCATCTCTTTAAGAATTTTCCAGCTTGTTGTGATCCACAGAGTCAAAGGCTTTAGTCAATGAGGCAGAAATAGATTTTTTTTTTAATTCCCTTGCTTTTACTATGATCCAACCAATGTTGGCCATTTGATTTCTGGCTCCTCTGCCTTTTCTAAATCCAGCTTATACATCTGGAGGTTATTGGTTCATATACTGTTGAAGCTTAACTTGAAGAATATTGAGCATTACCTTGCTACCATGTGAAATTAGCACAATTGTACAGTAGTTTGAACATTCTCTGGCATTTCCTTTGGGATTGAAATGAAAACTGACCTTTTCCGGTCCTGTGGCCACTGTTGAGTTTCCCAAATTTGCTAGCATATTGACAGCAGTACTTTAACAGCACCAATTTTTAGGATTTTTAAATAGTTCAGCTGGAATTCCATCACCTCCACTAGTTTTGTTCATAGTAAGGTTTCCTAAGGCCTACTAGGCTTCGCCCTCCAGAATGTCTGGCTCTAGGTGAGTGACCACACCATGGTGGTTATCTGGGTCATTAAGACCTTTTTCATACAGTTCTGTGTATTCTTGCCACTTCTTAATATCTTCTACTTCTGTTAGGTGTTTGCCATTTCTGTCCTTTATTGAGCCCATCTTTGTATGAAATGTTCTGTTGGTATCTCCAATTTCCTTGAAGAGATCTCGAGTCTTTCCCATTTTATTGTTTCCTCTATTTCTTTGCATTGGTCATGTCCAATATATTTACAAATAATTAATTTTTACTAATAAAAAAATGTATTATTTTCTTAACTGAAAAAAATCTCATAGTAAAGCTTATGTTAATCTTGGATACTAATTTGGACTAAACTAACTGAGGAAACAGTGGAAGCAGTGTCAGACTTTATTTTGGGGGGCTCCAAAATCACTGCAGATGGTGACTGCAGCCATAAAATTAAAAGACGCTGACTCCTTGGAAGGAAAGTTATGACCAACCTAGACAGCATATTAAAAAGCAGAGACATTATTTTGCCAACAAAGGTCCGTTTAGTCAAGGCTATGATTTTTCCAGTGGTCATGTATGGATGTGAGAGTTGGACTGTGAAGAAAGCTGAGTGCCAAAAAATTGATGCTTTTGAACTGTGGTGTTGGAGAAGACTCCTGAGAGTCTCTTGGACTGCAAAGAGATCCAACCAGTCCATCGTAAAGGAGATCAGTCCTGGGTGTTCATTGGAAGGACTGATGTTGAAGCTCAAACTCCAGTACTTTGGCCACCTGATGCAAAGAGCTGACTCATTGGAAAAGACCCTGATGCTGGGAGGGATTGGGGGCAGGAGGAGAAGGGGACGACAGAGGATGAGATGGTTGGATGGCATCACCGACTCAATGGACATGAGTGTGATTAAACTCTGGGAGTTGGTGATGGACAGGGAGGCCTTGCGTGCTGCGATTCATGGGGTCGCAAAGAGTCGGACACGACTGAGCGACTGACTGAACTGAACAAAACCTTCAAATGTTTAGCAAAGTTTGCTACTTTTCAGGCCTTTATCAATAACCTTTGGCAAATTTGTTTGTCTTGCTGAGGAGATTCACAGGGAATAAACGGGAGAAAAACCTTTCCAAAATGTTCTTTTCTGATTCAGAAAACCTTCAGTAGACAATTACTTTCAGATAAATCCTGGGATTCAAAATAAATGACAGACCTTGCTAGATACCAAAATATATTCAAGGAATCCAAATTAACTTCATCTGGCACGCAAACTCCAATTTTTGGAAGCAACTGTAGTTCCCTAGAGACTTGTGGTTAAGAAGCTCACTTCTAGACTCAGCCCACGTCTTAGCCAAGGAAAGACTACTCTCGTTAGTTAGTGAGGTCTGCCTTGCAGAACAGAGTGAGGAGTGTTTCCCATGGCCTGTTTCCCATGAATTCTCCATCCCAAAATAAAATGTCTGGATAAAGTCTCTGTTAAAATTAAGAAAGGTCCTTACTGTATAACACAGGGAACTCTGCTCAGTGTTATATGGCAGCCTGGATGGGAGGGGAGTTTGGGGGAGAAGGGATAGATGTACATGTGTGGCTGGGTCCCTTTGCGGTTCACCTGAAACTATCACAACTTTGTTAACTGGCTATACCCCAATACAAAATAGTTTTTTAAAAAAAGAAAAGAAAATGAAAGGTCCAGGTACAAGTAGTACCTGGTACTACCTTGTGCTAGTAATTTAGCACATGACACTTTTTAAGGACTGAATGAGAATGAGAAAATCTGATGGAATCAAGTAGTTACTAGCTACAGGAAAGAAAAAAATTTAATTATAGCAGATTTGAAAGATAGTAATTATGAGCTTCAGTGATACTCCAGACCTTGATAAGAAGTATTTCATATGTGAATGAGTGAAATTTAATGTCCAACAATGGGGTATGGGTTGTAAGCAAATTATGTTCCCCCTATAGTGGAATACATTCAGCCATTAAAAAATACATTGTATAATAATTTTTAATGATATAGAAAATACTTATATTTAATGAAAAAAAGTAAGTTATTAGAAAACTAGATGTGAGCATGCAAATAAACTAGAATGAATTCAGCA